TAAAATTAATGTTTTTAAGAAGTCTACTCGAGACAATGAGAAGTCTACTCGAGACAAGAGAAGTCTACTCGGTTGACAAGTTATATGATATAAATGAGAGAAATGTCCCTCTGAATCACTTTTAAGTTATGTAAAATTAATATCTTTTAGAAGTCTACTCGAGATAGGAGAAGTCTACTCGAGACAAGAGAAGTCTACTCGGTTGACAAGTTATATGATATAAATGAGAGAAATGTCTCTCTGAATCACTTTTAAGTTATGTAAAATTAATGTCTTTTAGAAGTCTACTCGAGACAGGAGAAGTCTACTCGAGACAAGAGAAGTCTACTCGGTTGACAAGTTATATGATATAAATGGGAGAAATGTCCCTCTGAATCACTTAAATTAATGTCTTTAAGAAGTCTACTCGAGACAGGAGAAGTCTATTTTGTAAAATAGATAAACATAGATAATTTAGGAATTTGATACAAAACATTCAATGCAATTCAACATTACATAGAAAATAACTCTCTAAACAAACAAACATTTAAGGATCACTAATTATAAATCTTAAAATTGGCATAAGAAATGACTAGTAAACTAAAATCTCTGAAAACTGTGTATGCAACTGAAGTCTGCTTGAGAAGTCTGCTCGAGATCGAGAAGTCTACTCGAGAAGTCTGCTCGAGATCGAGAAGTCTACTCGAGAAGTTTACATTCAGATCTGCAAAAAAATCAACAAAATTCAGCTCTGCAACAATAACGAAAAAGTTAGATCTAGAACAAAATCTATAAAATTTATACAACAATAAACTCATATCTACAAATATAAAATTAGATCTACAACAATAAGCCCAAATCTAAACTAATAAGCTCGGATCTATAATAATAATCTACTATATTTATAACATTCAGATCTGTACAAAAATCAACAAAATTCAGCTCTGCAATAATAACAAAAATTAACAAAATCTACAAAATTTACACAACAATAAACTCAGATCTACAAAAATAAACTTAGATCTACAACAATAAGCTCAAATCTATAATAATAATCTCAGATTTGCAATATGAACACAAAGCAAATAAAAAGAGGAACACAGAAGCTCAGATTTGCTTACCACTATCATAACCTGCAAGTGAGAGGAGGTTGAATGCAAGATAGAGAGGATGGAGAGGATATTGATAGCAAGAGAGGAAGGAGAAGGAATTCATGGCCAGAGAGAAGGGAGAAGAGAGAGAGAGGCGTTTTTTAGATAGAGAGAGACTTTGTTGTTAATACAATTAGGTTAAACTCTCCTTATATATGTAGGAAAAAATTCATGTAAGTAGACTTCTCCAAGAAGTCTACTCGAGAAGTCTACTCGAGAAACCGAGAAGTCTACTCGAGAAGTCTCTTAGTATTGATTTTTATCCTAATTTATCTATGATGATTTAAATTGATTATTTTCTATCAAATTTTATTTTTAATAGGTGTAAAAAGTATATATTTGTTGTTATGTATCTAATTTTTTTTTATTAAATTATATTTTATGATTTTTAAAATTAATTGTAAACATATTATTATTGAGTAGACTTCTTGGAGAAGTCTACTCGAGAAGTCTACTTAACTTCTCGAGTAGACTTCTCTGGGATAAAATAGTAATTGAGGTTGACGTTTTTTTGTTTGGTCATAAGGGTTAAAGTTGTAATTGCACTACTCCTGTGAGTTATTTTTGTCAAACATGCAATAGGAGGTCTAGTTTTGCATTTCAACTCAAGTTTTGAGTCATATTCAGCAATTCCCCCATTTGATTTTGTCAATAATAGCGAAACATGACATCATTTCCATTTCCACCGTCGTTCTAGTACAAATCCACCACTTACACCAATGGGTAAAACAGGAAAATGATTTGGAATGCGAAAGAACGGAAGGTCTGAATTACATCATTGTTACTACTATCTTATAAAACAAGTTAAAATCATCGTACATCCTTGGATATTTAATCAAATTACGGATGTTTTATTTATGTATATGTGAAATACATATGCACTTTGTGGTTTCTTTGTGTCCTTTTTGAAACTAATCATACTTCATTCGATATGTCTCATCACAATCGCATAAATATAAATTTAACTCTGTAATAATGTTTAGAAATTATATTTTTTATCTTTTAAATTATAAAAATCATATATATAATGAGCAAGTTATCTCAGATCCACATCAGCATAATTTTTATTTTAAAATGGGCATTTGAATATTTTGGATTTTGTTTTTAAGTTTTTATATTTTGGGTATTTATTTTTGGGCTTTTAATATGATTAATTTGAAAAAAAAACAAATACTTATTTTACAAATCATAAAATTTACAAATTCTTCATTTGTGAAAAGGAGTTTGGAAGGATTTATTCGAAAAACTTACAGAAAATAATTATCAAACTTTATAGAAAAACTGTAGAAAGATTTATATATAAAGCTAAAGTAAAATCATATATATTAAACAAATACTTATTTTATAAACTATAAAAACTACAAATTCTCTTTGAAATAAAAAATTTAAAAAGTTATTTCAAATATAAACAAACATAATTTGAAAAAAGAGTTGGAAAATGAACAATTACGAAATATGACAGAAGAATTTGCTGGGAATAGTTATCAAACTTATTTAAAAATGCTTGGAAATATTTATGCTTAAAACTAAATTAAAATCATTCATATCCACTTTACTGTATAAAATGAATGAAACTTTTTCATAAGTAAAGAAAAATAAAGTGTGTAATTATATAGCATAGAAATGAATTTGACTTATACGAAGGAGGAAAAAATGGCAAATACTTATTAACCATTTTTCTTAATGATTGTAATATAAAATTGATATGCGATCACATTACTCATCAATCGGATAATATATGAGTTTTAATTTAAAATATATAAATAAACTAAACAAGATTATTGATTATACTTTTTAAGATAGTCATGTTGTTTACATTCACATGATATGAAAATAAACAAATATATTCTCACACATTCACAAATATAGTCAGTTAGTTCATCATTGAAAAAAAAAACACCTCAAATCAATTAAAATCAACAATTTATCAACTATGCATAATTTTTTGATATAAAAATCTATCAAACATATGTAGTATTTGAACAGATCTTTTGCTTTGTCTAGCCATCTCTAACTAAAATTCTACTCTTTTAGAGTTAGCACCGATCACAGAACTGAATGAGATGGAAGCTTGCATGAAATAAGAGGAAAAAAATCAGTAGATTGCAATCAGAATAGTAAGACTAAAAGCTATAAGAAAGGGGGAAAAAATAAAGGACTAATTATGCTTGAAAATGAGGTAGATTCTATAAAAAAAATGAACATTTAGTTTAGAATGGAGAAAGATCAATGATGATTTTAATTTGATGATCTTTAAAAAGAAGATATAAAAAAAAATGAGAAATCAACTGAATACATATAAACAGTAATAATATAACAATTAATACATGACAATCTATATTAGAAAAATTATAGTACAATAAAAATATATATTAGAATAACAAAAACATTTTAAAAAATAAAAGAAAAATATAATATACAATAAAATTAATTTAATATAATATATATAAATATATAAAATTTTAATAAAATTAATGAATAAATCTGCACAAGTGCACCGGTAAAAATCTAGTGGTTGTGTCGTGGATTTTTTTTTACAAAAGAAAAAAGTGTTGTGGATTACTTCTTGAATTAATAAGAAATAGACCACATTAAGGCCCATAATGGCTTCTTTGATTATTGTTATGGCCCATTTTTACATTAGTCCATATGCCCATAACAACAAATATTCACATAAACGAACCTGATTTCACAGAAACGAGTATGTGTGACGGATAAATACGCGTTTCTTTCAATGCCTAGCGTTTGTAAGTATATTGGGGGACGATTAATTATTTGTTAGAGACCGAATTCAAGTATTGTGTGATTTTGAATTGGTCATATCATCGATGTTTGAGGTTAACATTGTCAATATATCAAAGTGATCAAGTCATCAAAAAAGAAATAAAAAACTGTTACGGAGCGTAGAAGAATCCACACGTTCGTGATTCGTGAATCATCTATTATATAGTGTGTCTCACAAGGAGATGACACCTTAGCTTTAATTTTTTTTTTTTTTTTTAATTTTCACTTCTTCAAAAATCTCTTCAGTCAAACAAAAAAATATCATCTACCGAAGCGTTTTTCTCTAAAATTTAATTGTCATTGTTGTTGAATATAATCAACATCATAAAGAAAATAGAGAATAGAGAATGGAGAAGAAGATCGAGATCGAATCGGTATCGTTAGCACAATGAGTTCTCTGTTGCTCGCTTATTCACCTAAGTTCACCGGTAGTCTCTGTCTCGGAATCTCCTCTTCTCCCACAAGATTGTGTTCGGCCTCCCTCTTTCTCTCTCCGGCACTTGAATCGATGAACTCCATGTTGCTCTTGTGGACTGAGCTTCTGATCCATCGTTTCACTCCATCAAAACTGATTGAGCGAGCACGTCTCTTTCCACCGGAGAACCTCCTTCTCAAAGTCACCGACCATCCCTCCTCCAGAACCACCAGACCTGCCAGATATGCCGGATCTATGGCTCGGTTTCTCCTGCCCCCTCGGTCTCTCACTCTTTCTAAAACCCTCTGCCCATCGTCAGTTGCTCTTAATTACTCTCCTCTGCTGTTTCTCTTTCCTATATCCATCGTGCTTTAGAGCCCCCGGCGTGTCTTATCCTCCGCTGGATCCGTGTTGTCCTCCGCCATACACTCCGCTCGTCTTCCCTGTTTGCTTTATCTTTTGTTTAAAGCTTTGGCTCTGATGAGATCATGAAGTCAAGCTTTGGCTCTAATGCGAGAGTTAAAGGAGAGCCTGAAAACTATTTAAGCCAAAAATTAAAGTTCAGTGTATTTGTAGAAGATCACTGGAGACGCAGTCAATTATACAGGTTAGCCCGTGACACAATAAATTTTTCAACTCAAGGTTTTGTTAGCAGTAGCTCTTGGTATTTCATGGCACAGTAAAATCTTGGTGATATCTGCTGGTCTCAGTTATGATTTGTAATTTTCAGGGCGAGGATCCGAAGTGTCGTGTCTGGTAGCATGTTGGCTGTGTTATTATCCCGGAGAAGCATACGGGAGGAAATTCACCGCTTCCTGATTCATTTTACTGTGAAATATGCCGACTTACCCGAGCTGATCCGTAAGACTCTCAAGAACTTTCTATTTTCGGTCTGTGAACTAATGAAGAAGAAGCTGTGTATGTGTACATGATGATGATATGTGATCAAATAACTCAGAGAATACTTTCGTGTGGGCTCTTTTATTGACAGTTTTTACAGTACTAGAGGTAATTACAACAAGAATGAGCACAGCAGCTGATCTCACTGGTCTGCATACCTGATTTTTAGTTCAACTCTCCTTTTTCCGAAATTTTTTTTGGTGATCAGCTATCTAAATGTAGTTTTTTTCTTTTTTCTTTGCACAGCAGTCACTGCGTGATGGTAAAAGGGGAAAATTTGTTGAATGGAGAATGCACAAAAAGAAAACTATGGTTAGTGGATTTAGCAGGAAGCAAACGGGTTGCAAAAATAGAAGTGCAAGGAGAACGGCTCAAGGAGACTCAAAACATTAACAATTCACTATCTGCTCTTGGTGATGTCATATTCGCTCTTGCCAACAAAAGCTCTCATATTCCTTTCAGGTAGAAATGATACATCTACTTTTTCTTGAGTTAGTGAAGAAGGTTACAGTCACTATTTTTTTTAATCCAACTTGGATTTTCTTTTACATTCACCTCTGCAGAAATTCAAAGCTCACGCACTTACTTCAGGATTCTCTAGGTACTTAACTTTTTTCTCAATGCTGCAATAAATTTATTTGCTTACATATGTCTCACTAAATTGTTCTCTTATGTACTTTATTATGAAATTCTGGAAAAAAAAATGACTGGTATGTGACAGGAGGAGATTCGAAGACCCTCATGTTCGTACAAATCAGTCCTACCGAGAAGGATCTAAGCGAGACACTATGCTTACTGAATTTTGCTAGCAAAGTAAGAGGGATAAAGTTGGGACTTGCAAAGAAGCAGCTAGACAATACCTGAACTCTTGAAATAGAAGCAAATGGTAAGCTACATCTTCCACATATGTGTTTATCAAATCATTCATGTATTGTTCAAGATGACAAAGTTAATTATTTATCAGGTTGATAAATGGAAGCAAGACATGAAAGGAAAAGACGAACAGATGAGGAAAATGGAGGAAACGATGTTCGGCTTAGAAGCAAAGATTAAGGAACGAGACACTAAGAACAAAACCCTTCAAGACAAGGTAAACAATGCTCACCATAAGAACCACAAGAACAACAACGCTGGGTTATAACACTTTTCATCTTGCTAAAACCAATCACATATTTTTTGGCTAGATCAAAGAACTTGAATCACATCTGCTGGTGGAGAGGAAGCTGGCTCGTCAACACGTAGACACCAAGATTGCTGAGCAGCAGATAAAACAGCAGAACGAAGATGAAAACAACACATCAAAGAGGCCACCACTTGCAAAATACTGTTGGGAAGCAACAAGGTCTCAAGCGAGACCTCAACTTCGAAAGATACGGTGAATCTATCCCGACCACCACTCTCGGAGAGCAACACCATCTATGACCTACCTCTTATACCTAACGGTGGCTTCAAGCACAACGACCTCACTTAGAAGGAGAATAATCCAGAAATGGCTGAGAGATTGCAAATACCCAAGAGAACAGGAAGATTCTCCGTTTGTCCAAAACGTATCCTACCACCTCCAGCTCCAAGAAGGAGTTCTCTTGCCCTAATGCCATTCTTCCCATTCACATCAACTTTGCCGATGAGGCCAGCACGCCAAGCTATTACAAACTCGCCTGATCAAAAGAGCAGCGCTAACCAAGTGCTCTGCGTCAGTCCGAAGTTGCACAGAAGCAACGGGAAGACGCTGAGCAGCATACTGAGACAAAGCATGCAGAAGAGAATGCAAACGAATTCTTCCTCGAGACAGCAACCGTTGAGAAGAGGTGGCATTAATGTCGGGATGGAGAAAGTTAGGTTGTCTATAGGAAGCAGAGTAAGGTTAGCTTAGTTCACAGGGTTCTGCTAACCAATGCTCGCAAGGCAGTTCTAAAGGAGACACCACTGAAACAGATGCAGAAGGAGAAAGAGAGATGGATCTGAAACTATTAAACTGGTTTTTTTCTTCCTCTGTTCCTGATGACTTAACTTCTCTTCATCTTATTAGATTTATTCGAGGATGGTTGATATTTCATCATCCTCCCGTATTGGTGGATTTGATTGATCCTACCGTATATAGATGGATTCGGGTTTTGTAAATCACGAATATAATTCTCTTTGGTTATTTCATTAAAGTCAATACACAATTTTACTGTCAAAATCTATCGATAATATAAATAAAATATTTTTTTTAAAAAGTATTATGATAAACTAAACATACAAACTTGATAATCTCTTTAAAATTTAAACATCATAAGCTTTAAACATAAATACATTTTCGATAGAACTACGATGTAAGTCTTGATTATAATTTTTTTATCTATTCTTTTGTTAAAAATTATGTGCACAAAACTTCTTACACATGTACACAATATCATGAAATCAATTAAACAATTCTAATATTTCTTTAACATATCAGAAAACAAAAAATCAAAATCAACAGTTTTTTTATTCTCATTTAACTTATAATAATAGTTTTTTTTAATCAATGCTAATTCTCACAACTAATAAATTAAAAATTAACACTGTATTAACATAAAGTTTGAAAAAAATACATACATAAAATAATAAAAGTAAAAGATCAAAGAAATTCCGACGATATTTATGTAGGTTAAAAACAATTTAAAGCAAATTCAGTTTTTTTATATCAAATTTTTGAAATAGAAGCGATAAAAATATATTCATCAACTTACATATATTTTAGTGAAAAGCCTATATGTGGATTAATTGAAACCATATTTATATATTTACATAACAAATTTAAAATTATATTATAACTATATTTAATTTTAAAATTATCATATTAATTATAAATATAAAAATATATGGTCAAATGTAAATCTGCGTGTACACGCGGATCATCACCTAGTATATATGAATAGGGAATAACCCTTTTCAGCAGCTTGACAAATCAATATTTTAGATTAATTCAGAAGTGACAAGTGGCTAACAACAATTAAAACAATCTAATAAATAATTATCAATAAATAAATTTCATTAGTTAGATATAAAACTGCATTTTATGGAATATGAAACATCTATTTATTTATGATTTTAAATAATAAAACTAAATTGAATTTGAGCTAAAAATAATTTAAGATATAAAGAAACCAGAAAACTACTTCTTTTTATTGTAAAAAACAAAAAAGAATTTCTCAAAGCAATTTTTAGCAAAAAAGAAAAAAAAATTGATAATGCTCGTGAAACTTTGATGATGAATGAACCATTTACATATCAAACAGATATTTATTTAAAAATAATATATAGTTGTAATTTGACGACAAAAAAATATAAAGAAAAGAAGAAAATAAACTATTATTTGCGTGATGTGTGTAATAGTCCTATTTGATGGTATTTTAAAAGTTAAACAAAAAGTAATAATTATTAAAATAGAATCATAATTATGCTTGATAGATCTCTCCAAAAATAGTATATAGTGTTATAAATTAATTGATACCATAAACTAAAATATAAAAATATAGCTTTATACAACTATATATATATGATATAAAAAACTCAATTATTATATTTGTGAAATAATATTGTTCGTGAAAAAATTACGGATTTTTTACGGGGATGTGTGTGTTCGTCTGAATAGTACAAGTGAGCCTCTTAGATTAGAATTTGAGGATTGAGCGGTATATAATCCCTGGATGAAAATTTTTTTGGGTCCTGCAATCATTCACAGTGGGTGAATCGGGTCTTTGGAAGACCGGAAATAGGTTTCCCTGCCGAAAGTTTTCTGATGCACAATTTAGATTACGTCCCGCAGTGAATAGATAATCAAGAGGGCGGACGGATGGTGACTGCTTTATAGCTTGGATATCCCGTCCAAGGATCGTGATACTATTCTGTGATTTGGCAAAGAAAAATGTGAAATGTATGAACCATTGAGAGAGTAGAGGTGGAGCTCTCTCTTAATAGGGATATAGTAAAGAGATAGAGAAGAAGTGAATGCTTATCTTAGTTGGCGCTCTTTTGGGGGAACATTAGAGGATCTTCAGCCTCTCGCCTCCGAGGGATGCTTGGGAGATCTTTGGCCTTTCTTCTCAACTTTGACCTCTTCTTCTTTCCTTATACATATTTTTCTTTGATTTGTCCCATCCGAAAGACGCTTAGAGAGAATAGATATGTTCATACTCATTGGAAAATCTGCCATATACCAAATAACATTTAGGTAGAGAGTCGTTAGACAAGTCTAGGCACCAAATTCATCATTTCGGCCGAGCCTATTATCAATGTATCTTTCACCTATTGGATACAATAAAAATAAATTCAAAAATATATTATATTTAAAAAATTTTATAAATATAAAATTTATATAGATATATTTTATTTTTATAATAAAATATATTTTATTTTAAAAAACTCGCACGTAGGTGCAGATATTAGTTAGTACTATACAAATCAGAAACCATGTATCAAAGTAAATAAAATATTGATATTTGTTTTAGCTTTTAATTTATTTTAATTTATTTAAATATACGTAAAGGATAATGTTGACATTGATGAGTCTTCGAGATTCTGAAACCATAGCCTACTTTTTTCGACCGTTTGCTAAGCGAAAAGTAAAGAAAAAACTAAAGAAGCAATAATAATACTAATTCATAACGTTGGAGGAGAAGAAGAATGATAATTTCCATGGCATGTCAGAGAACTGCCACGTGTCGTAGTAAAAAATGACGTGTTATTCCATATTTTTAAAATAATAATTTCGGCATTGAGCGAAGTCTCCCATGCGTCGTCGGTAAAGGAAACAAAAAAGCAAGAGTCGTTTAAAAGTCTACTATTCGTCATACATTTTCCAAATATATATAAATCACATTTTTTAATTTGTTCTGTTTATCATTTTTATATTATACAGAAATTGACTCAGAACGATAAGAATAATCAGTCGGAATTTTCTTCTTAAATGGTTAGGAATCAAAATATGTTATAGACTTTCGTATACAATTTTGATGATAATCTGATATTCATAAAACATAGTTTACAAATTGAAACTGGAAAAATTAGAAAACTAATATTGTAAATAACGTAAATTTAAAGAAAAACGGTGGGCTAAAGAAAATAAAAAGATGATAACAAATTCTGTTAGGAAAAAGCTAAACCTTTTTATTCTCTCAATCCAACTCATTTCGGCTATTAATAATTTACTTTAATTTCTTTTTCATAAATACACAATTTGCTGTTTAGCACATGTAAATTTCTAATAAAATATATTTAAAACTGCTAAAATTCATCAAAGTATTAATTTTGAAGCCTTTCATTTTCATATTTTGGTTAAATTAGATGAGTATCCGCGTGAACAGATATTTTTTTCACAAAATAATTTATTAAAAAGTGTAGTAATAATTTATTTTTTGTATATTTAATTTTTTTAAATATATTATATATTTAAATATATATACAATATATATTTACATATTATGTGGATATTAACTATATATGTGATCAATGATTTATTTATAAGAAAATATGAATTATACTATACTTTGTATTTATAGAATATATTAAACAGATATAGTGCAAATCAGAGAAGTACTATATAATAAAAATTAATTAGAGAAACTCTTCGAGCACAATATAGATAGAGCCGATTCTTTTTAATAGGTTGTACTTGTTCACAACGTATATTTATACAATAGCAATATCGTGGTTTTATATTTTTATGAGCTTAAATAATTGAATTATAATTCTAATTTATACAGCTACATTAAATATTTTATAAATATATATATTAGGATTTTGATATCTTATTAATTTTAAAATTATTAATAGATCAAGTTTGAATAAAATAAATTATCAAATAATTATTAGTTTATAAAAAATTGTTTTAAAATTTATTATAATATTGTATAAAATTTTCTTCTAACTTTTAAGATTCAAAATATCAAATAATTGTTATTTTATATTTGTATAATTGTTTTTATAATGATATCTTATAATATTAATTAAAAATAAGAAAGCACTCTTAAATATAAAACATAAATTTTGTTAATGATTTTTAAAAATTACCACAAAATAGATATTCAATAATTGTTTTTGGATATTATGTATATATTGTTATTAAAATATATTATCTAATTTTTCATATTTAATATATTAAATTTATGTATTAACTGTATTTAACATAATTTGTATCATTAAATTTTTTAAAAAGATACATGTCATTTCTCCAATAAACCAAAATGATGAAGTAACACTTATATTAAGAGAGTTGGCCATCTTTTATAGTATAGATTGAAAAAATATAGAAAAATAAATAAAATAAACTGAACATTATTATTTAGAAAATAAAAATATAGTAGTAGATTGGTAAATATAATAGCTGTAATTTTATATTTTTAATGTAGAAATATGATTGATTGGTAACAGCTATAACTTTATGTTTTTGCTGTACAAATATAGCTATAAATTTTTTTGGTATAACTATAAAATTGTTTTTTTAATTTTAGCTGTAGTATTGTAAAATTTAGAAATATAAATTATATATTTTAAAAAAAATATTTTATACAGCAAAAAAAAGTAAAAAAAGAAATAGTTTGGTTGTAAAAAAAAACCTATTTCTATATTTTTATAGTAAAAATGTAAAAGTAAAGCTATAATTATTACCAATCAAATTTAAAAGAATGATCAAATTTATAAAGCAGAATTGTTATAATTTAAAATTTTAAACAGAAATATTAATATGAATAGCATCTACAGCAACAACCAACCAAGCTCGTAATTTTTTTTTCTATAAGTATAAATTTTATTTCTTTAAAACTTTAATGATAAAATTAAAAATTTAGAAAACATAAGAAACAAATATTTTATATAGTACATAAAAAATTAACTATAAATAAATAAAGAAAAATTAAATTTATAAAATATAATTGATACTTTAGAACTTTAAACATAAATACTACTGTGTACACCATTTACATATCACTAACCAAACCCCAAAAAACCAACGAATTTTTTTTTTCAATTCTCCATTTTTCTTCTTCTTCTCTCTCTGCTCTGTCGCTTCACTTTCTCTCTGCTTCGTACAATCCGATTCGTCTTCTTCATCACTAGGGAGAAGAAGAAGAAAAATCCCGAAAATGGCTAAAGAGAAAGACCAAAACACGAAGGACAAAAACCTCCTAATTTGTTTCTTATGGAACTTCTCCGCCGAGCTCAAGCTCATTTTAATGGCGTTACTCGTTCTCTGCACTCTAGCCACTCTTCTGCCTTTTATACCTTCCTCTTTCTCCATTTCCGCTTCCGAACTCAGATTCTGCATCTCACGAATCGCCGCGTCAGACGCCGCTAATTCCACCTCCTCCCTCGCCGTCACCGTCGTCGAGAAGCCAGAAGTAGATAACGGCGTTACTAAGCATCAGTTAACTGACAAGGCGGAATCAGATAGGGGAGTTATCAAACGGCCTCTTACTGAACAGCCGGTGTTGAATAACGGCGTTATTAAACGGTCGTTTACTGGTTACGGCTGGGCGGCTTATAACTTCGTGTTGATGAACGCTTACAGAGGCGGCGCTAACACTTTCGCCGTCATCGGCTTATCCTCGAAACCACTTCACGTCTACGCGCATCCGTCTTACCGTTGCGAGTGGGTCCCAGCTAACCAGTCCGATAACCGGATTGTAACCGACGGGAACAAAATCTTAACCGATTGGGGGTACGGCCGGGTTTACACAACCGTCGTCGTCAACTGCACTTTCCCGTCCACCATAAACACTAAAAACTCCGGTGGGACTCTTCTCCTACACGCAACCACCGGAGACACAGATCGGAACATCACCGACTCGATCCCGGTCCTAACAGAAACCGCAAACGCCGTCGATTTCGATCTCTACGACTCCAATCGCCGCCGGGAAAAGTACGATTACCTCTATTGCGGCTCGTCTCTGTACGGAAACCTAAGCCCGCAGCGAGTGAGGGAATGGATCGCTTACCACGCGAGATTCTTCGGCGAGAGATCTCATTTCGTTCTTCACGACGCCGGAGGAATTCAAGAGGAAGTGCTCGAGGTTTTACGGCCATGGATTGAGCTCGGGAGAGTTACTGTTCACGATATTAGAGATCAGGAACGTTTCGATGGATACTATCATAATCAGTTCATGGTGGTGAATGATTGCTTGCATAGATACAGATTCGAGGCCAAGTGGATCTTCTTCTTCGATGTTGATGAGTTTATCTATGTTCCTCCGAAGAACACTATTTCCTCGGTGATGGAATCTTTAGAGGAATATTCTCAGTTCACTATTGAACAGATGCCTATGAGTAGTCAGCTTTGTTTCTCCGGCGACGGTCCGGCGAGAACTTACAGGTAATTCAACATTATATTAAAGATTCAGAATTTGAAAAAAATCTTGGTTTTTGATTAAAATTTTCACTAACCCATGTGTGTTTTAAGCATTTAGAATCATGGATTTTGTTGAATTAGCATATGATTCTGTCAACATTTGCCTGTAAAAAGAGTGGCTTTTTTTTTATTTTTGTTGCACACTTTCTTCATTGGTCTTTAATGGTGGTCCATGTGGGTGATAGCTGTTTTCAAAGATTCTAGCTTTCAGTTTTCCAAAATGTACCATAACCAATTCAAGACTTGCTTGATTTGATTGAGATGGGTCTTTGTGTTTTTGTTAATAAATCCAAACAGCTCTTGTAATTTGAATCAGGTTCTGAAAATTTGTGTCTTTAAGCTACTGAGAAATTATGGCTCTTAGATTCCAAATTAACGAAATCTAATAGTGTAATCCACACTCTACGATTTTGTAGGCTTAATTACCGGTAATAGTTTTGATTATAGTATTTGGGTGATTGATATGTTAAATACGTGTTTTTTTAGGAAATGGGGATTTGAGAAATTGGCGTATAGAGACGTGAAGAAAGTACCACGACGCGACCGAAAATACGCGGTTCAACCGCGTAACGTATTCGCGACCGGCGTTCACATGTCGCAGAATCTACAAGGGAAGACATACCACAAAGCGGAAGGCAAGATCCGATATTTTCACTACCACGGTTCGATCTCGCAGCGGCGTGAGCCTTGCCGTCATCTTTTTAACGGCACACGGATCGTGTTTGATAACAATCCTTACGTTCTTGATACCACGATGCGCGATATTGGCCTCGCGGTCAAGACGTTTGAGATTAGGACCATTGGTGATCGGCTGCTTAGGACACGGCAATGAGAAACAAAAGAAGAAAGAAGAAAATGGTTAAGAAAGCGATGTTTTCACTTTTGCATTTTGTAACGTAAATCCCTTGAGAAGTAATGTATCTTAGGCGAATGTAACAATTTTTATGGATTCTTTTTAGTATATTCTTTTATTGTATTAAAACGGGGTCATAGAATCATACAGCTCAGAATCTTGGTATATAAGCATCTCTTTTATGGGCTTTAATAATATTTTTTTGTTATCTGTTTTTGGAAAAGTGGTTTCTTTAATTATTTGAGTTAGTGAAAGTAGGTTTATCGTCTTAGATGGATCTTTCATTCTCTGCCGTGTTAATTAACAAAAGTTTCCACTTTTTCTTCCTTAGAATTGAGTCACTAGATATAAAATATTTGAACATTTCCATTATGTTTGGAGTATAGTTTATACCGTTAAAAATGAAAGAAAGAACTAATTTTTTTAATAGAGAACTAAAAACTAGATCCAAAATATATTTCGGTTTTACAACTTGTTTTATTGCCAAATTAACTTTAAAATTTCTTTGTAGTTTACTGTTTTGGTGTTTAGTAATCTTTTTTAGTTATAATAATTCCAAAGAAGAAAAGTTTTTATTTGGGAAATTGTAAGGAAGGGCCCAAGTTAATATCAAAATTAATCGACAGCTTTCGACAGAAAGAAACTGACAACTTTTTATATATACTATTTCTATTAAAAAGACTATTGTATCCTTATTCATTTGTTAGAAAAAGAAAAAAAAAAGAAGAAGATCGAAAGGAAAGAAATGGGGAAGTGACGATATTATCAATAGTGGCAGTGGTTGGTGGTGGTGGTGGATGACGGTAGTAGTGGTCGATAGTGTTGATGGAAGCGTTAGCGGTTGTGATGGTGGTGGTGGTGGTGGTGATGATGGTCGATGATGGGGTGGTGTTGGTGGCGATGTTGGCGATGGTCGGTGGTGGCGAAAGTGTTGTCTAGTTGTGGTGATAGTTGTGGTGATGGAGACACCGGTGGTGGTGATGATAGAGTTACCGGCGGTGGTGGTGGTGGTGACTGATGATGGGGTGGTGTTGGGAATAGCCGGTGATGGTGATAGTCGATGGGTGAAAGATTGTGATATCAACGTTAACACGATAGTTATCATGCTCACAACGTTAACACGATAATTTATTGATATGATAGCATTGTTAACATGATAATTTTGTATAACTTATACAATTAACAAAGTTAACTCTAATTTTTCATGAAATAATAGCAATGTTAACATAATAGTTATCAATGTTAACTTGATATTTGTATAATGTGCTAATCGAGCATCATATTAGTTAGCATGATAACATAGTTAATATGATAATTATTGTGTTAACGTGCTATTTATTTTAATGTTCTAATAGAGTAACATATTAGTTAGCGTAGTTAACACAGTTATCACAATATCATATTAGTTAGTATGATAATTAAATTGTTATCTACCAAAACTGAATCAAATAATTATAAGAACAAAATATTTATAATTTCTATATATAATATGTATCAACCTAATTATCAATTATTAACTCTGAATCTTTAATTTTAATTTTGCAATTAACTTGACCCATTTACTAAATTTTCCCTTGTTTATTTTGACGAAAACACACAAAGTGTACTAGACCCCACGAAGAGGGTCCTTCCAAGTTTCGTGGTTGTTAATTGTCGCAAAGGCTGGAAAGTCTCCCACTGCCAAATGCTCAACAATCATGCAAATTATTTCCAATCAACAAATCTCATAATAACGACAACAATTATTCATTAATCATTTTCATTTCAATTAATACCAAAGTTAATCATATTATAGAAAACAAAAATTGAAACAAGAATAGATCAAGAGAAAAACATAAACAAGGGAATGTGCACCGACGGTTCGGCATTTAATGTAAATGCAAACAAGACACGTAGAAACAAACTGTACAAGCACATTCACGAACCCTACCATTCCCATATTAATATCGATTCACAAATTACTAATTAATTATTTTTTGTTAGTGGTTTATGCTATAATGACTGTAAATGGATTGAATTCATTTATATATGTTTGAAGTTGTCAGAGACAACATTCAATAGAAGCAGTCGAAGCTACATGATTCTCTGGAGCTGTAATATTCTTTGCAAATCTACAGTTTCCATTCAAATCAATAGTTTTAATTTATTTCTATTGAATGGTTTCATATACTATGATTCAACGTCCGCAAAAAAAATTAAAGCAATCACACGATCTCAACGAGTTTCATCAACTGCAATAAAAGATTCACACGAAATGTATCTGTTGTAATCAAATAAAGCAAATGTCTGATTGGTTAGTGTTGTACATGTAGTAGTGTTGTAATAAAAGTAGTTTTTAGATTTTTCGATTGCAGCTTAAAATTCATTGTTTTGAAAAAAAAAACCCTACGACATCTTCAAATTTAAAACTATTGAAAAAGTGAACAAAAAAAAAACTATTGAAAAAGTGAACAAAATATGCAGAAAAATAATTATTGTAGGAACTATAGGTTCTTAACACTTAAACCCGATCTCTGTTGTTAAAGTGACAAAATAATTGAACGATTTTGAAAAAGTTTTACTGGATTTAGTATATAAATACCACGGACAGTAGATGTATATTAAAATACATAAAGATTTATGGTTCATTCACAAATTTAATAAAAAAGTCCAAAACTAATAATATTCGCTCTAATTTGCATTTTTTCTTATACGTCTAGAGTTTATCATGATTTTTCATCCAATTTTAAGACACTTTGATTTGTGACAAATTTTGATGTATAAATACTATATAGAATTCATAATTCCTCAGCTGTTGTATCTTATACTTTTCGAAAGTTTTTTTAATAATTGTTTGACTCTTTGTATTTGAATCGTTCAACTCTAATTTTAAGTGAGAATGGTCCTGCAGCCTAAACCGACATAGACCAGTCAATCGCAACAATAAAAAAGCAAGCATCAATAATGCGTGTGATTCGATATTTTTGCTTTTTGTGGAGGTAAACAACATTTTGATTTTTTGGGAACTAATTATTTAAGGAAAAATAGTTAACAAGACTTCTCGTATATATTATATCGTATATTTTGTAAACTTGTAGTAGTAATTAAATTAGATCATTGTTCAAATGGCTTGAGCATCTAAGAAAGCATTGAAATTCTTGGTGGCTTCGAGCAACCGTGGAGAGATCGCCGGAGAGGTCGGGTATGAAACCGGCGATGACGTTGAGAATCGAACGTGACGTGGCGAAGACTCCATCGATTTTCTGTTTTTCGAACCAGACATCTTTAAAACCCCTTTGATCTCTTTCTCAATAGGTTCCTTGTCGAACACGAAAGCCGCCGAAACCGGATCGTCCTGGTCGTTCTCACCGGAACCGCTTTTGATTAGCTCGGAGGGTAAGTCAAAGAAGTGATTTCCTCCTTCTCCTCCTCCGGATTCCGAACTGTATGAGTTGCAGTCGAATTTCTCCATTGAAGCTCGAGCTGAGATCACTGTGGTGGTCGTGGTGGTTTCTCTGACGGAGACGGTTCTTGAAACGGTAACGGAAGATGATGATGACGTCGTCATCGTTGTGGTTCTTGTGAAGGAGGAGGAAGAAGAATCGTCTTTTCTCGATGATCTCACCGGTTTTCCTTTACCGAAACCGGGAAGGTACAAACAGAGAGCGTTGCATTTGAATCCGTCTTCTAATGTATTGTTGTTATTGATGCTCTTGTTCGATTCGGTTTTTACGAAGAAAGAGTTTCTGATTCCGCTGCTCTTAAGAGAGAGTCTCTTGCTCGAAGCTCCACAAGATTTGCTTCTCCTGAACGAAGCCGCAGACGAGTCTTGCTCCTTGCTTTTGATCGCTCGCATCTGAGCGGATCGTTGTTTAGGAGAAGTAGCGGTTGAGTTTGGGAGGCTACGGCTCACGAACTTAGTATTGACCGGCTGCAACGGAAGAGGCATAGGCGAGTCTATGTCTCTAGGAGGTGACATCGCCGGTAACAGAACCATATCGAAGCTATCGTTCCTTCTTAATGACGGTGACAGAGACAAGGACTTGATTGATGTCGGATCCATCGGTATCTCTCTCTCGGAATGCACCATACTCGTTTGCTTGACTAGAGTCTTCTTCTTCGGCTCGTGACGCTCGTCTCTGAAGCTAATAGTTGGCATGAGAACTGCAGCAGTCATTGTCTTGTGTCGATTAGTAAAGAAGAGAGAAATGACAAATGGCTAAGTCTTAATGCTTAAAGAGATGATTGATACTTATACAGATACTCCGAGAGTAAAGCATGGACAGCACGTTTTGGTGGCTTACACTTAGTTATGATATGCACGTCCAGCTTCTTTTTTTTGTTTCCTGCGTATTAGTCTCAGCGAAAAGGTTATTGACTTTATTACAATAAAACATAAACAATTAAACATCGTTGACATGAGACCATGCCCAAGATTGAGACAAGATTGAGACAGGATCTGATCAAGATAGATATGCCCGCACGAACCACACTTATTATAGTATTAACCAAAAGATTTGGAGTAATTTACCTGAGTTTGTGCAGACCACAAGCCGTTGATTAAGGAAGAATATGATTAAAATAATTGAAAATTCATTTCATGATCTTAAGTTACAAAACATCCACGATGGATGATCATTGGTACTGTGTGTAAAAGACTCTACTGAAGGGAATTGTAAAACAAGATTAACACAACCGAGATACCGATGATAACTGGAAAAGACGAGACTAAGTACAATGCTCCATAACCCTGAAACAGATTCAGAACAGAGGCAAGAGAAATATCAATCAGATCTGAAAAAGGCTTTGAAATAAAAAAAACGTTGTAAATGTTGGAAGAAAGAGTAATGATATCAAGCTAAAGATCACAACTCTGTGAAAGTGTTGAGAGAGATTTGCGAACAAACCATAGCTTTGGTGGCTACTCCAGTGTTATCATCATCGACATCGGCTTCTTCAATTGCAGCAGCTGAATCCCACTCTAGGTTGAGTCTCTTGGCTGCTTCTTTTGGATCTATTCCGGTATCTGTGGATTTCGCGTACATTGATTTTCCTCGCTGCTTCTTCGAAACCTCAACCTTATCAGATAAATAAGATAAGTGTTAGGCTTTGAAACAGAGTTTTGCTCAGCAAACTAACTAAATGTATATTAGCGGTCACCGGAGTTATACAAACAAAAAGATGATCTCTTCCATCATATTTACAAAACGACACCATCAAATAAAACAGGATATGAAAGGTCTTGTACCAATATGCACACTGCCGCTTGGATTTAGATGACCTAACCCATTAGCCTTATGGATTTAAATTGCCTTAAGCGAAACAGTGGTAGTTTCCTTCTAACAATGGGCACATATAGCAAAAAACAATGGTAAGATGTAAAGAAGAAGGTACCTCTAAATTTGGCCAACGGATCATTTCCTCATACAGCATTTGGAGAGTGAGACGATCTTTAGGGATTTTCCCTTCATTTACCTGTGAGAAGAAAGCAATACATTTTTTTAAGGACCAAAAGTAATCTACTTCCTCCACTAAGTTGCCACTTGATCATATCCCTTGTAACAACACAAAAGCAAACTCTTTAACTTAGTGTTATGAAGTGAAAACCTTGATATCACAGTTGGTTAAGAGGAACTCTGTTGCTAAACTTATGTTACATTAAAAACCAGAAATGTGAAAGATAAAGCATGAATGCAACTCAACAAAGGTTGGTTCTGCATTTTCTCCAAACCCGGCTGATTCAAAATAGCGCCCTATGAACACTCGTAGAACTACTCAAATTATGATTTTGAGGTATATGTTCAGGACGGACTCCATTTGAGTTGTGGTAAAAAAGATTGAAGATTTAAGAGACAACAATATCAAGTGTTCACCTGTTCCAAGGCTTCAGCTAAGTCTTCCCTACTTGGGGCATCTGCATCATCTATTCCAAGCAGCCTCCTCTTTTCCAGTTCCCTTGGATCCTCAATCATGATGGTCAGCTTAACCTATGGTTTTGAGCAAGTAGAAAACTCTGAGTTACTATTCTGATCCTAAGTTTTCTGACACATTAATAAAGGAGAAACACTGATTGAGATGGGCTTCACCTCACTGAAGATCATGTCCCTGTTCCTCCTGAGAAGCTCCAATACCTTAATTAGATACCAAAAGCAAAAACATTTAACATTTTTTCTATGCAGCTGAAAATCTTAGCTTGAATGCAGAAACGTTGAGGATACTACGAATTTAGAAAACAAGGCCAATCCTTTGTCTATGGCTACAGTAAATGAGAGACAACCCAAATGCAATTCTTCAGGACAATCTAAGGCATAATCAAATTCCAACTTACACTATCTGCAATTCTACTTAGAAGCCAAAATTTGCAGACGGAATCACAAAGAGCCGAAAGAATATACGATGATTGACAAAATGGAACACAAACCCGTTTGATCTCGGTGACGTATTTGAGATCTTCGGGATCTACTTCTCCTTCTTCTTCCTCTTCTTCATCTTCTCTATTTTGTTTCTCTTTCTCTTGTTGCTCCAATGTTAACGGAACCGGAACTCGAATCTCCGTCGCGTCTCCTTTCTCCTGCTGAGCTATCACACTACCGAATCTCCGGTTCTTCCTCTGCCTATATCCTCCTTCCCCGGAAACCCTACTGCTCCTGCAAATTACAACCGGAGAAGGCGAACAAACGCCGTAATTCCGTTTGCCGGAAGAAACACGGTACTGTAACGGCAACTGAAATATCTGCGTCACAGCCGCCACCATTTTTCCTCTGTATGTAGCAAAAATCCCTCTTACAATTCACAGATTCTGCATCTCTCTGGAAATTTACACTCGATTGAAAATAGACAAAGGAAGAAGACGATTTAAAATCATCCAACGTAAAAAAACGCAATTTGATACTTTTTTATTTAACCTTTTAAATGTTTTTTCTATGAAGAAAAATGAATTTGGAATTAGAAGATTTCGAGGATAATCCGATGAGATATGAAGATTGCCTCGTAGCGCCTGCCACTTGGATAATATTTCCATCACTTAACAAATAAAACAAAAATTAATCATAGACCACAACATCAGAAGGCCCAATATGTAAGCCCACTATCAAGGCCCAATGTATGCTATAGATTTGGCGGGAAAATGTCAGAGGGGCCCAGTAAATTTCCCGCCACAACGGTACTCAACATTTGCTTTACCCATAGTGAAGAAACTGAGAACCCGTTTACCTCATTTTACTCTCTGTTCAAACGAATTTAGGGTTTTTCCCGGAATTGTTTTTTTGGAAGGAAGAGGAAATTTCAGTGAGAGTAGATTTGAAAATGGAGGCTTTTGGTGGGTTTGTAATGGATGAGCAAGCGATTCAAGTGGAGAACGTCTTCTTAGAGTTTCTCAAGAGGTTTGTGTTTGTGATTTTTTTGTTTTTTTTTTCCGGAGTTTCGAGTTCTGTATCCGCTCTAACTCGGTGATGAATTACCATTTGATTTGGCCTCAAATTGCTTCAGTTTTCGATTAGATGCGAACAAGCCGGAGCTGTATTACGAGGCGGAGATTGAAGCAATTCGAGGCGGCGAATCGACGATGATGTACATCGATTTCTCACATGTTATGGGTTTCAACGACGCTCTTCAGAAAGCAATAGCCGACGAGTATTTGAGGTTTGAGTTTTTCTCTAATGGCGGAAATTTAACCAAAACCCTAATATTGTTTCTTTTGTGTGCGGAAAAAATCGTTTGGGTTTTGATTTTGGCTTAAAATTGGTTAGGTTTGAGCCGTATCTGAGGAATGCGTGTAAGAGATTTGTGATTGAAATGAATCCTTCCTTCATTTCGGATGAGACTCCGAACAAAGATATCAACGTTTCCTTCTACAACCTCCCTTTCACAAAGAGGTAATGCTTTTTCTCCGGAAAGTTGAAATTTTTTAAGTTCTATTTCATGATTTTGATAAGAAGGAAGCTTTGAACAGTTGATATTTCAGGTTGAATTTTTCAGTGTTTGGTGGTTGTGATGGTGACTTTGTTATTGATTTTCCAGGTTGAGGGAGCTAACCACTGCAGAAATCGGGAAGCTAGTGTCGGTGACTGGTGTGGTTACTCGAACAAGCGAAGTGAGACCTGAGCTTCTTTACGGAACGTTCAAGTGCTTAGATTGTGGCAATGTTATAAAGAACGTTGAGCAACAGTTTAAGTACACACAGGTAATTGAATGCTTTAGGTTTTGGCCTTCTTTCACTCTGCAGGAAGTGTTTGGTTTTAATATTTCGCTGTTTCACTTTCTTATATTCTTGTTTTGTAATTCATGGCGTTTGATGCAGCCTACGATCTGTGTGAGCCCAACTTGTTTGAACAGAGCAAGATGGGCACTGCTTAGACAAGAGAGCAAGTTTGCGGATTGGCAAAGAGTTAGGATGCAAGAGACTTCAAAAGAGATACCTGCAGGTTCCTTGCCACGGTCTCTGGATGTCATTCTGCGCCATGAGATTGTTGAACAGGCCAGAGCCGGTGACACGTAAGCTTTCCTCTTGCGCCAGTTCTCCAAGTTATATTGTTGTGTTTATAAGGAGCAAGAGTTGGTTTCATTGTGAGTCCTTCTTTTGTCCTCGCAGGGTTATTTTTACGGGAACGGTAGTTGTTATACCTGACATATCGGCACTGGCTGCACCTGGAGAGAGAGCAGAGTGCCGCCGAGACTCGTCACAACAGAAAAGCTCAACCGCTGGGCATGAAGGTGTCAAAGGTCTCAAGGCTCTTGGAGTTAGAGATCTTTCGTATCGGCTTGCCTTTATAGCAAACTCAGTGCAGGTTTGTCAACGATAGTAACTGTCAAATCAAAACTTGAGTGAGATTTGTTGATCAATCTCGACGTTTACTATTTCCCAGATTGCTGATGGTAGTAGGAACACTGACATGAGGAACCGCCAAAACGATTCTAACGAAGATGATCAGCAGCAGTTCACGGTGGGGCTTAAAATAAATGACATAAAGGACTTGAGACAGTTATAAGGTGACCTCTTACATGCTTACTTTATATATACTACTAATGAAATGGTTTCTTGTTTAAACTTGGCAGGGTGAAGAGCTAGATGAAATTCAGCAGATGAGGAACACTCCTGATTACTTCAATAAGTTAGTTGGAAGCATGGCGCCGACCGTTTTTGGTCATCAAGACATCAAGCGTGCAGTTCTACTTATGCTTTTAGGCGGTGTGCATAAGACCACTCATGAAGGCATCAACCTTAGAGGAGACATCAATGTTTGTATAGTTGGAGATCCCAGCTGTGCTAAATCCCAATTCCTAAAGTACTGATCCTTCATTGAATGTTAATCCCTTCTGTATTTTTGTTTTATATTATCTGAAAATCTGATCACATTAGTGCCGGTTTAATATTGCAGGTATACAGCAGGCATAGTACCAAGATCTGTGTATACATCTGGGAAGTCCTCTTCTGCAGCTGGGTTGACTGCAACTGTGGCTAAAGAACCAGAAACTGGGGAGTTCTGCATTGAGGTAATGTTTATGTGCATTGTTATAATTTGCTTGCAACGAAACTTCCGAGTTACCTAAACTTTGTAGATCGCTTTCAACAATGCTAGCCTCCTTTAATAATGTTTGTGATTGCAATTAATGCCATCTCACTTTTTAACAGGCTGGTGCTTTAATGCTTGCTGACAATGGAATATGTTGCATTGACGAGTTTGACAAGATGGATATCAAAGATCAGGTAAGTGATCATCATTGCTTATTACAGTACAGAGTCAAGAGTTTCGTGGACTGTGGCTAACTGTTACGTTTGGGAAAAGGTTGCTATTCACGAAGCCATGGAACAGCAAACGATAAGCATAACAAAAGCTGGGATACAAGCAACCTTGAATGCAAGGACATCGATCCTTGCTGCTGCTAATCCTGTTGGTGGGCGATACGATAAGTCTAAACCACTTAAGGTGAGACTATCCTCTAAAGATGAATCCATACGGATGCATATTTGTATTTTTTATACTTGTTTAAAAACTTTCATGGATTTTTTTGTTTGGTTTTATATCTAAATTGTGGTTTGTTCATGCTATTTTCAGTATAACGTTAACCTTCCACCTGCCATTCTCTCGAGGTTTGATCTTGTGTACGTTATGATAGACGACCCTGATGAGGTAACGGATTACCACATTGCTCATCATATCGTGCGAGTTCACCAGAAGCATGAAGCAGCGCTTTCTCCTGAATTCACTACCGTACAACTCAAGCGGTACATTGCATACGCGAAAACGTTAAAGCCAAAGGTATGTAAAACTAACCTCAAGAAAAAGGTGTTGACTTCAAAAGGCTCTTCTTCTGCTGGAGATGTTGCTAACATCTTTTTTCGGTGTCTTAATTATCTGTTGCAGCTAAGCCCAGAAGCAAGAAAGCTACTGGTGGAGTCTTATGTGGCTCTCCGTAGAGGCGATACAACACCTGGCACAAGAGTCGCGTATCGAATGACAGTTAGGCAGCTTGAGGCACTGATCAGGCTCTCAGAAGCCATTGCTAGGAGTCATTTGGAAGTTCTGGTGAGATTATCCTTAAACGATTGTCTCTTGTTTCTCTTTTGTTTCCTATCATTCATTTGCTTTATCTGGGAATGGAACTTTGTTTCGTTTCAGGTAAAACCAAGTCATGTTCTTTTGGCTGTCAGACTATTGAAGACTTCTGTCATCAGGTAACTTTCTAACCTCACATTCTCGCTTGATTTCTCCCAAAGTCTTAACCTAAGCAACCATTTTTGCACAAAAAAAAAACCAACCATTTTTGCTTCTCTTATCCAGTGTTGAGTCTGGCGATATCGATCTTTCTGAGTATCAAGATGCTAACGGTGACAACATGGACGGTGACGGTGATGATATCGAAAATCCTGATAATGTAGATGGAGAGCAACAGAATGGTGCAGCTGAGCCAGCTTCTGCAACTGCAGGTACATACTTAACGATATGTTATTTTCTTCTCTAACTCCTTTTGAGTTCTGTACTCAAGAACCATAACATACATAATTGATGTAGCAACAGATAATGGAGCAGCAGCTCCAAAGTTGGTGATTAGCGAGGAAGAATATGATAGAATCACACAGGCCTTGGTCATTCGCCTTCGACAACACGAAGAAACTGTAAACAAAGACAGTAAGAAACATCACTCTTTAATTCTCCATACCATTCTCTTGAAACAGATGAATCGTATGATTAAGTACCTCCTTGTTTCTTTAGGTTCTGAGCTGCCTGGAATGAGACAAAAGGAACTGATTCGATGGTACATCGACCAACAGAACGAGAAAAAGAAATACAGCTCGCAAGAGCAAGTCAAACTCGATATCAAGAAACTCAGAGCCATCATTGAGGTAAAATCAAGAACAATATTATAAGCCAAATATTATTTTTTCAAATTTTATGTTTGCTGTCTAACACCAGAAACTATGTTTTGTACTGTACAGAGTTTGGTATGTAAAGAAGGTCATCTTATAGTGTTGGCCAATGAGCAAGAAGAAGCTACAGAAGCAGAAGAAACAAGAAAAAAGTCTTCACAAAGAGACGAGAGGATCTTGGCCGTTGCACCAAACTATGTCATCGAGTGATGTTTGTTAAGTGTAAGTTTCATTTGTAGAACTCTTAAGTAGAATCCCTAAAACCCTAGTATTCATTTGGAACTAGTTTTATTGGATTCCTTTTAGCTCAATTTTTCACCAACATAATTTCGAAGTAAACTTGAGGGTCAAGATCAACTTACAAATCCAAGATTGTAATTGACAGT